TTTCTCTCTTTTTCTCTCTTCATATGTAGCATCGAAAAGGCAGGGGACAAAAGCAAGGGTTTCTTTTCTCGTTTGGTATTGGCGATGGGGTTGTGTCATTTTGATTATACGGTAAGGAGCAGGCGGACCTGGAACTGGCGCCGGAGGCTGGGGATGACGTCTCGGGCTTTATGGACACGGCTCAAAGATTTCTGTTGCTAACATACTTCCTATCCGGGGTCGCGCATGGTAGTATTGGCTTCAGTCGGGCGGTATACTTGTATGAACTGTTCTTCTTGGCAGTGTGGTAGGGGTTGTCATGCCACATGGCTTGACCTACCCGTGTATGTGTAGAGGCTCAGGTCCATGAATCCAATTTTTTCAACTCATTACCTGTTCCCCAACGATGCTTTCCAGTGCTCTCCGACATTCAGGTGAGTGATGTACCCGTCAGATAAGACGATGTCTCCGCAATGAATTTCCTGGCCATCTAGCTTAAATCATTGCGGGATAGCATGACAGCTGTGCGGGGGTGAGGGAGAGGTACCAGGCAGAGATTCACAGACCCAGACACTCCTACTCGACTTTGGATGCATGATGAAGGCTTTCTGAGCGTGACCACAGACAGTTTTGCTCGTTGTTACATGCTGGGAACGTCGGCAGCGACGTCGCGGGCCGCTTGGATGTATTCTGCTCGAATCTTGGCAATTCGGTGCAGCGTGACTCACCTCGGTGCCTGCAAAGGTCAAGTCGTCACCCTCTCAAGGTAGAGAAGGCGCGTTGAGGTAAGGGGGCCACTCTATCGGAGTAGGCATTTTCTGTAACTTACCTCTTCCTTTCTTCTTCTCTCTTCTTTCCCCTTCTTTCAACCTCGCAACCTCATAGCAAATCTTCGCACAAACAACTTTTTGGCCATTCGCATCACGTTCCGGCATTCAAATCATGTCAACATTTTCCAAAGCCTCTATGGCTCCTTTGGAAGCTTTTATTGAGCTCAAAACAAAGCCAACACCAAGTTTGAGTTCGCTGCTCTCCGAAGGCCCATCGAAACGTTCTACGAGCAGCATCAACGTGATACCGAGAGTGTTCAGACTCTATACTATATTCCCCCAGCGTTACGGGAGACGGTCAGCAGGCTCAGCCGGGACATCAATCAAATTAGACAGGTTTTAATCACTTAGCATCTAACAAGTTCGTGTCCCCTCCAGACATTCACGAGGAAACATTCACTATCAACAACATGCAGAGAAACAAACGATTAATGGCGCAAGGCAAACTTTAATGCAGTGAAACAGTTCGGACTCCAAACAGAGCTCCATGCACCGATGAACCCCACCACCCACGGGTGCAATAGAGTGGTTGTTCCCGGCAACACCGCTGGGAAGCCTAGGACCTGGAGTATCCAATGGTCATAGGAAAGCCACATGTAGGACATCGATTATCTCCTTATTACATGCCTTTGAGCCGGTGTTGCCTTGGTTTTTACTGCGAATGCGCTGGAAATGATGAGTTCAAGACGACAAGTCTCTATGTGAGGAGGATCTATAGTCTCTAATAAACTTATCTATAGTACCCTTGACCTTATTACTAAAGCTACCTATCGTCAATCTACTATACCTCCCCGTATACACATACAAAAGCCTAATGTAATAGAAATAACAAGGACAGGAGGGATCCATTGAGTGTCTTTTGTGTTTTGTACTCGATGGCAGTTGAAGTCAACGGATGAGCTCAATCAGATCGGTGGCCGATTGGCAAAACGGGCAGGGTGTCGCACTGGGTCTGGTCATGTTCTCAGGAATTACAGATTAGTGGTCAGCCTCTCGGCTTCTTTATATGAAATCAGTCAGAGATCTACCGGAAATGGTGAAGGAGGCAATATACGGCCAGACCTAGGCATCGGTAGTTGGACTTATCGTGAACGTCTGAGAGTTTACTACACTCGACGCAACAGCATATGCCCAGTAAGAATGGAGGCACACTTCCTTCGCCGTCCTCAATTCTATCGATTGTGACTCAAAGGGTACTACACAAGCCTCGCGAAGGGTTTCTCCGTGAGAATGTCTCAGTGATCAAGCATTCGACGGCTAAAGAAAACATGGAAAATTCGCCTCAACAGCTTGATCCCCGGCTGAGCTCAACAAACGAGCATCGTTATGCATTGAATTTTCGCATATTTCCTCTAGCATCAGCGGGTGACGGTAGTGGTTGGTTCTTCTCTCAATATTTCCAGCATAGAGTCGTTCTGTTTAACTTGGGATTCGAGGGGAAAGATTATTATTCTTTCTTGAATACTTCAGTTGGGTAGGGATGGGTGTATATGAAGGCTTTGACAAAGTGGCCTGGTCCGTCGTTGGGCTTGATTAGTTCAATAACGCTATGTACTCGAGCCTCGCATGTATTATGGACATCCTACGCAATTCCAGCATTCGTAGGTATTACTGGCGTTTATATGTTCATTCTACGTGTCTAACATCCAGTTATCCTGCTCAAGTTGCGGCACCAGTGAGTGGGCAATGAACAATTTCTTGGCAGTCACTTTGATTGGAACTTGAAAACAACAATCTAGCGATTAGAATTGGCTTAGGGGAGGTAGACGAGAAGCAGAAAATAAATGCCCGGTATTCTTCACAATGGCACACGATGTCTACGAGCCCCATACCTATGAATGTTTGTCCACGGGCAAGTAATGAGGGCACCTTTACTACATAGATACTTGTTTGGAGCCACATGATCCTAATACTTCTCGGACCTATGCTGACCCCTCGGAGGAAGAATGGAGGATTCCGTCAGCCCTACGGCCTAATGTATTCCCAATAGGGTTCTGAGGTAACTCAGCCACCAAAGACATGCTCCAGGAAACCGGGTCTCCCAATCACAAGGTCTGTCCGCTACCAAGTGCTCCCTCATGTCGCTATGAGAGGTAAACGGTTCAGAAGACCTTGATAGAGGTAGCTCTCTAAGAGTGAAATATCAACATATCGCATTTTATTTAACCATGACAGTGAGTTTGATAATTGAAGATGCTACCTATTACGGCAAAACGCCAGCAACTCAAGTTCTTTGCGCCGGCAGAAGCGTCCTCACGGCTCAGGATTCCTTGTTTGAGAAGTCAACAACTCTCACGAAGTGTCAGACTCCAAATCGCAGTGTTCGACGAGTAGTATGTGGAGATGGCCGGGAGAGCAAGTCTGTATCCGTGCCTGCCCCAGTTGGGACTGTGCAACGCAGCAGAGCTGAAATCAGAGCATACCCTTCCAAGGCAAAGTAGGAGATGAGGCTCAAAGAATGGCCCCCAGTCGACCAGACGAGTCTAGCATACGCTCGAAGCCTGATAGATTCCTCCATTTCTCACGTGGGGTCTAGAATACATCTGTTGGCGCGGATAGGCCGAAAGGCCCATGTGAAGCGAAGAGTGTGTGGAATTTCGTTCGGGGGCCTCGGGGCCTTTTGTGAGCCAAGCTCCTATTGGAGGCGAGTACGAAGACACTATAGGATGTCGGCGGAAGGATTGATCGTCACAGTTACCACGGGGCATCGTGGGCATGTCTGGGCCAGCGTGTGCGTCGTCGTGTGTGCGTGTTGGGCGCGCGCGAGTATTCAGTCAGAGAGAGCAAGGGGTAGAGTAAAGGAGCCAACTCTTCGACATCCAGGCCCAAAGACAAAGTCTATGAGCTTAGCCGGAAGGCTAGTCAGAGGCTTACAAACTCAGCCTTAAAATACACTTCCAATCATCTGCCGGAGCCTGGCGCTCCTCCACGCGGGCCATATTAGGCTCATAACCGATAGCCAATTTGGAATAGATGCATATTTCCCAGCCCCAAGGCAGTTATGACTGATTCGTCGCCACGCACGAAGGAAGGCAGTATGTTTCGTGTATTCAAGATTGCTCGAGGGTGAAGTAGACGAAGGTTGGGCGGAGATGGTTGTGTCATCGACAGCGGCAGCGATGATGGGCCTGCAGCTACCTACCTTGAGTGATGTAAACTCCGCCGCACTTTCCGTCGTGGATACAAGACATTGGCAACTTGTGCCTGCGTATTGGGGTCCAAAACGAACGGACCACGAGAACGTGTGACACAAGAGATGGAAGTAAAGTTAAGGATAGCGGACGCTATTCGCCAGCCCTACGAGCTTACGTCTCACTTTCCGTGACAAGTCCAACGGGCCCGGCTCACTTTCGTCCTCGTCGAATGAGTAGAGGAGGAAACGATGCCTTGTGTCCCGCCTCAAGTCTGCTGCCTGATATGCGCAAGGCGGCTACGTCGTTCATTGGGCTGCACTGTACCAAGAGACAAAATGTAGGTGCACCTCGAGTTCTCTAGATACCAATCTACAGTAGTGAGTGTCTTGCTAATTAATGGGCAATTATGAATCAATTCGACGGAGAGCCCACTAGTGAGTCAACCGCAAGCTTTTTCTCAAGGAACGAAATAGCATCCACTGCATTGAGGCAATATGGTAGGTAGATGGGTTCAAGGCCAGCTGTAGTTGACCATGAGACAAGTACCTGTAGTCCGCCAATACGGTACTAATCGAGCTAGTACGAAAACGGGCACCGTCTTCTCGAGTCACACAAAACGGTATGGGTTCCAAGGTTCCGAGGAAGGCGCAGTGCGGGTGCAGGTTCACTTGCAGTTGCAGGTTAGGTAGCGCACGGTGCAGGTGAGGTGCAGAGCGGGTGCGGGTGGGTGTGAGGTGGAGCGGAGAAGCAATGGAAGGCAAGTACGTATTGGATCCGTACTTCGTCCGGAAAGTGAGAGACAGAGTAGTGCAGGGGTCGTTACGTCCAGTCCTTTTCTGTACCTTAGCTCATTGCAGTCCAGACCCCAGTCTTCCGCCTTTTCACCACCAAAGCTCGACGAGGCACACCAAAATCTGGCGGGAATTGGCGGTGGCTCGTCCTCGTCAAATTTCGGAGGGGGAAAAGATGGCCGCGACCTAATTGGCTAACATGCCGTTTGTCCGGACACAGCGAGTTGAACCCCCCCCCTCTGCAGTCGTACCTGAGGTTCCTCACCATGGCCTCATATTCCATACCTCGTCATTTCGTACACACTTGGCTCTATACTACATCACACACTCGCGGATTACGGATACAACTCATTCTCGCTATTGTATCTTGCCTTGCCTTGCCGTGCCTTGCCCTACTTACGAATTGCCTACATATGCCCGGTGGCATAGGTATGGTGGTGCCATCAATGTCCTTTCTCGGTACGCCGTTGAGGCTCACTTTATGACAAATTGGGTCATGCAGTCAGTCAATAGGTATCAGCAGCTGTCTGGATCAGTGGATGCCCGCCCATACGGCTACAACGTGCTGAGGTCCATCGCCATGTTCTCCCTGCCCTTGTGTCACCGGCCATCACTGACTGCCTAGATCTTTTGTTGCCCATGACTCCATGAGAGGCGGCCGCTCGACGACGTTGCACGCGCAGACAAGACGATACACGCGATTGGTCATATCGCACTAACATACGGATACCCGTACGCAGATGCCTTGCCCGACTGTCTTGACAGACATGGATACAGATTAGGACGCGATTGCATTCATCGATACCCATACGCACCTGAACCCCAATTGCAGTACCGGCGCAATGGCCCTGCGTGTCCCGCACTAGTGGCCGATTTTCTTTGCGATCGGGGGCCATGAACGACAAATGACAACGGCATGATGGGTCCCCTTTCGCCGCACAGCCGCCCAAAGGCACAGGAAGAAACAGCCACGAGTTCGTAGCCACGTCTTGCCGGCAGCTGTCCTGGTGCGAGACGGATGCAGAGATAGAGTGATACACTCAGACATGGAGAAGAACAAGCAGATGCCCGGCACGAGTTGATTTGAGAATTAGAGAAGCACTTCAGGCTACCTCCGCCGGAGCGGCACCCATTGCCTAGTCCCGGTGTGACTCTTCAAGATACGGGCCAGCCACGTGTAGCTTATAGGCACGAACGGACGAACCGCATCGGGGTTCCGAGTCCAGCACCATTTCTATCATATTTTTGATAGCCAAGCCAGACCACCATCTGCCCAATGGTCTCTACACTATAAGCTCTGTATGTGTTGACAATTGCTATTACCCGTCACTCCGGAACTTGAGTGCGGATCACAAGGCTTTCACAGTCACTCGCATTTGTGCCCATCGTTGTTTCACGTCCGTCCGCTGAGCCGCAGTTGTATTGCTGTTGGGGCAGGCTCGCCAACCCTGGGAAAACACCAAAAAGCCATGGCGAACGTTGCGTTTCATCTCTCTGCCGATTCACATTGTGACGACACAGGCCGGTATTAATTGGTTGAGAGGGACGATGCCTTATCAAAAGTGTTTGCCTGCACGAATCTTGACCAGGCGAGGCGAGGCTACGAATACCTAGGTACCATCCAAATGATCCAATGCTTCCAGGTGGTCTATTGTGGCGCCACCACCACCGGCGCCGGGAGCCCCCGACGTTACAACGACTGCGTCGGTGTTTGTCCCCTGGTAAATCCAAACACCGAGTCACTAGGATGGATCAAACATCTTGTCTGATCAAACGCCGTCTTATCGATATTCCCATCAAAGGGCACACGTATGGATACTACTGTTTCAATTGCTGTTTAGCCCTGGAGGCATGCTTGCCTCTCCTTTTCGTCGTTAGATGAGATGTAAATGAGCAAGAAGCCGACAAGACACGGCGTGCTCCCTTACTCTGGCTTCTCTAGACACTTAGGTTCATTAGCAAGCGGCTTGCGGGTATGCACATCTTCATGGCGAGGACACCCGCGTGTGATGCGTAGGTACACGTGTAACACCTTGGATGTCTCTGTGCGCAAAGGACATTTCGGTCGATCATCACCAATGCACCTAGGTATGTACTGGCATGAGGTGGCCGTGGTGGTGTACTTCCACGGGTTCCTAGATTACAAAGCATGTGCTGTTGCCCAATCCGGCCGAGGGCTGCTGCGGGCGTTGCCGCCGAAGATACGCCCAAGAAAGCGATGACAGGTTATATGTCGCATGAATGCCCAGGAACTCCGTAGATCTTCAGGAAGACATGCATAGCAGTGCTTAGGGAAAAGTCTAGTTATCCGTACTTGCGGAGTTTAGAAGAGGCCTTGGTCGGGAGACGGGGTGAAGCAGCGGGACTCGGGGAAGCTCGGACAGCTAGGCGTGAGGTGGCAGGGTGCCAGAACAGCGGGCGGCTCTCAGATAGGCAAATTGCAGTACGGATACCTCTACGCAGTACTCCGTACTGAATATGTTTTTTGCTATGGGGAACGATATACCCGCCTCCCTCACCTTGGCAGCAGTGTGCCACATTCACAGCCTCCTGGAGTACCTAGGTCCTGGGCCTGCGGGGAGGATGAGGGTATTCGTGTACGTACCGTAGTAAGGTAGGTACCTTACTTCGTAGGTACCGTCATGCAGGCAAGGCAAGGTACCCAGGTACCGCAGGTAACCAGCAAGCGAGAAAGGTTGAGGTTACACAAGCTCTTGAAGCAAACAGACCAATCAACTACGTCCCACGGCCATTCCTTCAGCCCTACGGCCCCTCGTTTTCTGGCGGCGTCACCGAAAGCTTGGCATCTGCAGTCTGCACCCAAGCTCCTTTGACCCCGCCTGATGGTCTCCTGGTCTCTCCGCCTCTTGCCTGGACCTGCTCCCATTTCCCATCTGCCTCACCCCAGTCCATGAACTTCTTCAAGCCCTGTGTAACCTGCTTCCTCCGCCTTTTCCCCTCCCTGCTTCCTCGTCATCCACCCTCCGCGTCGGCTGTGCGCGCGTAGGTACGAGTTACACCAGTCTGTTCCGTAGGTACTCTTCTGCTTCGTCGGCCCCGTTGTGTAACAATTTCGTTTGTTCCATGGAATCATTCCCTCGCTTCTCTTTACCTGTCGTTTCACACCCCCCGGGACAACACAGCAAACCCAAGCGAATCATCAGCTTCACGAATGCAGTCTAAGACAGCTCGCTCCCCTGCCAGTCCACACCAGGCCCGGGGTCGACCCCGATTCCCCATTGTCTCGCCCGTTTGTCCCCCTCTTATCGAGTACCTCCCTACAGGCTACTCGCACAAGATTCTACGACGGGAGTCTTATGCTGCAGCAAGTTGATGCACGAACAAAAGACCCTGTATGCTCTGCGCATCATCGTCAACGAGATCAACTGTGACCAGCACGTCTCATGCTGCTTTGGGAAATTCCAATTAGATAGCTACACCGCTAGAAAGACTGAGTCTACGACATGGACGCAGGTCATGTCTTGTACGGACAGAAACGCCTTCGATTATGCCTTACAGCTGTCTCGACGGAACGGGGGTGCTGCTCCCTCTCCTCCGTGCATGCCGGCCACATAAGCCCGGATCTTCGGGGTGACTGCGGCGCGACCGGTACATCCACCGCATCATAAGCGAAGTTGAAAGCAATCAGCTATCCCAACAGTCATCCCGATATCCCAGTGGCTTATGGAAGCTAGCCCTACGGGCATCCATCTGGCAATTAAGCATCTCACTGGCGCATCGAAATGGCGGACCAGTGAGGTAGGTACATGACTGGTGGAGTTGCCATGTTCCCGCAAGCAGGTCAAGTCCAGGTCAATGGATGACTACTTTGTCATCACTGGAACTTTTGGTGTCTACTGGGCGTGGCAGACATGCTACAGCAGGAACTTGTATTTCCAGTATGAGGTGGGCAGAGCATGGTAGGCGATTGTCAAGCCACGTCTGTCCCGGACTGTATGGAGCCGATACCTATGTGAACAGTCTAGGTAAGGTAGACTAAAGACAGGGTGCTCAGAGGCTGGAGTTGTATTGACATAGGCAGAAGTTTTGGTCCTTTGAGAGTCTGGGTCCTGCGACTGGTTCGTCGTGGCTTGCGGTTGAGAGAGGATTTCCATTGGCTCACACCACGAGTTACCGCATCGAGACGAGCTAACAAGTCTGCGAGATACGTTACGGTCCACGGATACGCAGTGATTACGCTGTACGCACGATTTGGCACCCCAGCCGGGCCGTTGTCGTCTGATTACCAATCGTGGAGTTTCTAAAATCCTCTCGCGGGCGCTGAGCCGTCCATAGCGCGACATGGGCAATTCCCCAGAGCTCCCTTGCCTTGTTACTCCTGTTGTGAATGGGATGATTACGGTTAGATTAGCAGCAGGCCGAGCAGACAGCTTCGTTTCTTGTTCTCTTGAGTCTCGGGAGTGCTGATCTATTGATTACTTAAGCACAGACCACTTCACTCGAACGATCACTACGTAAAGATACTTGCTACATCGCTTGACCCAAATAGGCAAACCCTTTCCCCGGAGGAGGGGTGGTGGTTCAATCCTCGAACGATGTATAGCGACACACCCCTTGCCCCGGGTCCCTCTGGCTGTTGCTTTCAACTGGTGGCCAGGACGGGACTCCCAACACCCTGGGTTTTGGAACCGACAAGGCGAGGGTGCGGCGTATTATCCGTCATGATTCCAAGGCAATCGCAATCTGCAGACATCGTGAGTGTGACATGGCGACTCCAAGCACGGACAGACAAGAAAAAGCACAGGTATCACTGCAATCCCTTCCCTTTTCCTCCCGCTGAGGTTGTTCAAACTTCCAGTCATGGTTGACAGGGGTTAGGGATTCCACATCATCCACCATGATGGGGTTTCCTCCCGGTGGGCTTTAATCACAATCATCCATGGGATGGCATCTCTCTACCCACAACTTTGTACGAACTATGTACGAATACCCTCAGCTTCCCTTTTACCCTTTGAGCCTCCACGAGGGGGCTCCACCCTGCACTGCAAAATATGCCCAGATCAAGAAATCAATTAGGGGCAGCCCATCCTCCAAATCCACTTTCGCGATTCACCGCCGCAACGAAACTTCATCCATGATCCAACATCGAGAGAATGGCGCTGGGTCGAGGAGATTTGCTGCTTAGCCATGACAAGCGAAGCGGAGCCTAAAGACCAAACGTCCACCGGTCGCTCCCAGGCAGCAGTATGATGGCCTTGGAAAAGGCCTGTCTAGATTTTCAACAACGTGATTTTTTCAGCAACTTTTTTCCATCAACGAATATGTACCGAGGCCAGCAAACACGCCATCTCCACATTGTTCGCCTACCTTAACCTTGTATCTGATTCCTGCATGCCAGTTCTGGAATCCGATGAATTTGTGATTGGGGCAGTGATTGTGTTGCTACTATTACTTCGTCCTATTATCTGTACTCTCTCCATTTGACTTGTGACCGACCGGGCATGACGATAATGGTGTATTGCGGTGACCAAAGCAAGCAACGCAGGCAAAAGGAGGGCGTATTTCCTTGCGACTCTGAGCCAAACCATTCTCGATTGTTACTATCATATGTCCCCATATTGCACCCTGCGGTTTGGCGATTTCGTGGTTTGTGGTTCACGGTTAGGTCGCGTTGCATGGCCCGCAGCAGAAACGAAAGAAACGCTGCGCTGCCCTTTCACCCCAACCCCGGACAGTGGAGGCCCCACGCAACAAATGCGAGCCGGCCAGTCGCAGCTATTCGTCCCCGCTTGCTGTGGGTCTCGGAACCCTGACGACCGTCACGACCCCCGGGGCGTCCCCCCTTTCCCCCTGGCTCTCCTGCGCCCCGATCGACTCCGGAGCTTTGAAGCGGACAGGAATGGACGACTCCTACGGACTACTACGACATGCCTTACGGAGTACCTCAACTGCCCATCTCATCTGCCAATCTGCCAATCTGCCACCTGCCATCTGGTGCCCTGTGCTGTGCTGTGCTTGTGCTTGTGGGTGTCGCCCGCTCCATGTGCCCGCTATGACCCGCTGTTGCCCCGAACCCAACGGCCTTCCGGAGACAACACCGTACCTGCTGCCAATCCCGGCGATCCTTTTTTGCCTCCTCATCTCTCTCCAAGACTTCCAACCAGCCCATATCGTATGCGTGTCCATGGTCGTATGGATATTCAATAGCCTCAGCAACCGCGCAACCAAGGAGAATGAGGAGAAGGAGGAGAAATCGCGCACCTTGGCCCGGTCTGGACTGCCTTGGACTTCTCAGACCTACCCTTGCTCTCCCTCGAATCTGGCAGCCTAATGCTGCCTCTCTCTTGCTCTCCATCTCCATCTCCATATTCTTAGCCAAGGTAGCTCTATTCGTACCTCCCTCTCTTGGCCAAGACCCATCAACATTATACACAGCAATGCGATGAAAAATGGTTACATCCCAGCATGCCACCCCTTCTCCGTACGCATGTGACGATGGTATACCTATACTGACCACAATGAGGCCAAGTCCCGTAAAAGAAGAAAACGGCTAGTACAATCAGCCACACCCGCGACATTTCTGCACCCTGCTGGCAAAGCAACCCCAATGTTCGGGCTTGGCAACCAACCCAGTACGGATACCAGGCTGTCCCTCACCTTGTGTGTGGACATCGTCAGAACCTAAAAAAAACACACCCTCTTCAGATTTCCCCCAGAGCTTCAGCTGGCACATTTCTTAACAGGTAGCCGTCTCGTGAAACATGGCCTGGTACCCAATCGTTCAATCGCCCACCCGTCGTAAACCCCCATGTCGATGAGAGCCTTGTAGCCTGTACGGATAGCCTGTAGAGGGGGACCAGCGCAGCGCCCCCTTTCCTTTCCTGGCCGGGGCCCGTGTAGCAGTGTAATCCTACTGGCCCACCGCTACATCCTCCAAGCCCGAGAGTTCGGTGTGGTGGGCTGGGGTTCGTTCGCTGGAGGAGGATGCAGTCGTTATGCGCCCATCTGTCTGTCCCCCCCTAGGATGGATGAAGCCAATCTAGATGGCGTAGGGCTGGATATTCAGGAGAAGGCATAACATGTAGAACACCATGGTCCCTTACGGCTCGAGCTTGGCCACCTTTACGAACCTTTATCCGCAGTGCCGGGCTCAATTGATCAATGGGAAAAGAATCGTTAGCAACTGATGTTTATTGATCATCCAAGGTTTTACATTGGAGGGAGAGACCATGTTGTCGTTGAAGTTGAGTAAACTGGAGGCAGACCACAAGGCAGCTCGCAAGTTTGGCTCCTGCTTCTGCTTCAACCATGTATCTAGGTAGTCAAAGGCGACGCAAATGGAATAGGATCTGCTGCCCAAAGAGGAGAATGTGAGGACTACCGAATCGTGGACACGTTGGATTATCGTCATGACCGACAGTGCTGCGCCATCATCTCGCGCAACTACCTAGACAATGCGCACGTCTGACGGCATGGCACGGTGCGTTGTGTTTCTCGATTTGGACAGCTCTGCTCTGTTCGGAGCGAAGGTGATGACAACGTCTGCATGGCATCTTTGGTCCGCGCTGCCATGACAGGGTGACGGACCGGCCGCCGTTGGATTGCTGACAAGTGCAGATGGATAGATAAACGGCCTCTAAAGGGAGCTAGATGGCGCCCGCCTTTTTGGTGGACAAGTGCGTCCAACGGTTTTTTTGCGGCGTTGTGATGCCCCTCCCTGCAAATCGAAGTCGGAAGCTACGTTGTATCGCATCGTACAGTTGGAGAAGTGCAGTGCTGACAAGCTCGGCAATAGCATCGAGAAGATAAACCGTGGCTGGGGTATCAATTTGATCCTCCTTCGTCTGGCGGTCCAGTGATATCCTTCTTATTGGGCCCGGGGCTGGAGAGGACGGCAGCGACGCATAACAGGCAGCATCTAAAAGTGAGCAGCTAAATAATTAGGTCTTGTTACACTCTGGGACCTTATTTCGGAGATGGATATCGCCAAGTCAACGTGTCATGCAACGGCGGGCCACTCAGAGATGGAGATTGTGATGGTGATGGTGATGGCATACTCTAGGCGTTCTCGGTGCGACAGAGGAGGGGTGGTTACTGGCGCGTAAATAAGTCGTTGGAAGTCAGGTCAGGTCAGGGCAGGTCAGGTCAGGTGTGCGCTTGATGATGTCTGAACCCGACGGGCTTAACGGCGCGTCCCTGCAATAGCATCAAGCGATGGGAAATGCAGCCCTGTTGGAGCTGTACAGCAATTACAGATACTCCGTAGAGAAAATACACGTTTTGTTGGGTGCCTATTCGTACCCTCTCCTGTGGAACCCAAGTCCGAGGTCCCCACCCACTGCGAGCTTTCGACCTTGCGGCTTGCCCAGGCTGCGACGAAGATCCAGGGACAAGGGGTGTTTTGGCGATGGAGCCGGCTGGCCGGCGTAGACAGGGGTTGGGGTGGTAGGGTAGGTATTGCGGGCGTCGATGGTTTCCATGGACGGGGTTATGGTATAGGTTACCGTACGATACAGGTCCAGCGAAGAGAGAGCAAGAGAAAGAGAGAGAGAGGGAGAGAGGGAGAGGGACGTGGGGAATTGTTCGGATCATGGGCATGAGCATGGGCATGGCATGGCCCAGCGATGTGTTTGAAGGTGTGGTGATTCTTGGGAAGGGGGCCGGTCGGGGTCGGGGACGGGGTTAGGACAGAAGGGTTAGATGGGTACGAAGTACGGATACATTCCCAGTTTACTGTGTACGATGGGATGGGTCACTTCGTCCGAAGGAGCGCAGGTGAAGGTTGTATCCGCGCATCCACGGTTGAGGTAGATGGAAGAATATGCGGAGGATTTGGGCAAAGCAGGTACTTTGTTGTGTGACTGCAAGCAAGTACGGACGAATAGGAGGGCAGGCATCGTCTTGCTAATCGACTTTGCAAAAATAGACGTCTTACAAAGCACGTGGAAGCCTTCGTCATTTGGCCCCCTCCTGGCAGACTTTGGGGTCCTTGGAGAGGCACGGGAAGGGTAGACCGCACTACCGTAAGGTAGGCGTACGGCGTAGTTCTCAGAAGTACCTCTTCCTAGTGTACATACCACCCCTAATTACCCAGTCACCAGTAGACACACACCTACGCCTACAGACTACAGAGAGCCAGAGCCTAGAGTCACCATCGCTGGTTGGGGGCCGAGAACGAGCGTCCCAAACAAGCAGATGAAGCGCACGTTGCAGTTGCAAGTCAACATGGGGGAAGGGGAAGGCCCTGTCTCGAGATTGATAATTCATAGTTACACACACCAGACCAGCGCGGCTGTCGGCCGACCTAGAGCACCTTGCGCCCTTTCCAGCGTCCAGGATTGTTTTAACACCTTGTCCATTTTGGCCTCCTGTATCGACTATTCGTGACTGGTCCCGCTCTGAAGGATTCGCGATGTCGAGGATCCAGACCGAGGGGGTAGGATTCAGGACGACCAAGGCGATGGTGATGATGATGATGATCAAAAAGAAATTCGTACGAATTACCGGAATTCGCCAACGATAGCCGGAGCAAGACGTGGCCCCAATCTCACCAGTCCCTTTCACGACACATCACTCTATCTTATTCCCGTCTGCACGGATCAATCTACGTCTCGACCGCTTTCTTGGATCCAAGTATCCTTGCAATGAACGATGTTGAAGTTCGGATGCTCAATATATCTTCAGCTCGCCAACGACACACTCACACACACACACACACCTATCTACAGGCAGGGATCCATGGAAACTCCGGACGTGGTCCATCCACGTCTCCCATGGCGATTTGATAATGCCATATCCGAATTTGTTGTTTGCAAATAGCAAGATATCAACAACTCGTGCCAAGTACGCGCATTCAGTGTTCCGTGATACGAGTCACCTCTTGTCCACACATGTCAAATAGACCAACCGCCAGAACGTAAGCCAGCGGTAGGACGTTGACACGGGTAAGGATTCAGGAAAGACGTGACGATGTGCCGTGTGTGCCTTGCGGGCGGGACACCGCCAAAACGGCGCTGGCGCACCTCGCCCTGTGGCTTGGTAGCCGGAATAGCCTCGTCCCGCCTCTAGGCTGGAGAGACTTGGGGTTGGGTGGTGGGCTGTCCCCTTGGGCCTTGGGGTGTACCGTGTGTCCCGTCCTTGAATCCTTTTTACCTCTTTAGTGATGACGTCTCGGCAGGGGAGAGAGAGCACCCTTGGTTTTACACTACACTAGACCACAGTATGGGGTTGAAGGTTCCCTGGTCTCTGGAGTCGGGTCCGGGACTGGGGCTGGGTAGGACTCTTTCTCCAGTCAACTCACATGGGAAGATCGAATGGAAGAAATCCCATGGATTCTCCACCCTGTCTGCGCCTCTTCGCGGGCGCAAGATGAGAAATACCACAGCACATCACTGCGTAGCGAAGAAAAAAGATCAACGACGGGCTCTCACTGGCTGCTCCGTTCGTTAATGACCAAGCTCGGCCACGAGACTCCCCCACTCGCCTCTAGGCAATCGAATTCTCGTGATGCTGGTTGGACCACACGCTTCAGTGTTTAATATAGCCAAGGCAAGGTTAGGGGTAGAGTGGTCCAGCTAGTGTATCCCAAGTCTGAGTCCCCCTCCCTTTGGGTTGGACACACCCGGCCAGTACTCCGTAGACCCAGCATCTGGCATTGAGCACCTGCCGCCTAGCATTAGCACCGCTACCACAGTCGGTGGTCCGTGGAACCTCAAGATTGAGAAGAGCAGAAAAAAAAAAGGATCCTGGACCCCAAAGCATCACCCATCTGCGTTGGAAATCATGAGAAAAGTTTAGTGCACTGACCCGTGTTTTGGGAACACTCACCTCCCGTCTCCACGGAGTACCTAGGTACTTACACAGGCTCATACTCCGTAGGGTCTGCAAAGCTTGGCCTGCGGAAAGAGGCTAAAAACCAGGGGCTTTGGAGCTTCGGGATTGGCCCGTCTTACGAAGCTACATCTTGGGACTAGCGTCGCTCCGCTTCATCCCGGGATCGGCCCACTTTTGTCCCGTCCTTATTGCCGGCTGGCCACGGATGCTTCAATCAACTTTTTCAGGCAATGGCCCTGTCTGCGAACACCTAGCTCCCGCTCCGGCTCAACATTACAGGCGCGAGATTGCGGGATTGACTGTGATCAATTCGGGAACCCTTTCGAGATTCGCCAAGGGTTTCCCGATATCGTGCTGTGTCCGGCCCCATCGCAAGCGGGGTCTTCGCATCCTACGCGTCCACGATGAACGAACCTGCGAAAATGTCTGCTGGTGTACGGATAAACGAACAAACTGGGAGTCCAGACGAAAGCTGTATCCGTAGATGGAGTCACTTCGAAAGAGTTTCCGTGCCATGAGTTGATCCATGCTTCTACTGTCCAAGGCTCCCCATCCCACCGGCTCTGCCTTGACCATCCGCAGCTAGACTTGGGACTTGATCTTTAGGGTTCGAGGCCAAGGTGGATGCCATCATCCTCATCTCCCCTCTTTCCGATATCGTCAGTACCAAGACGTCGTCAATTTGTTGTCCACGGAAACGGTGCTAGCCTGAAGAAATAGCCACTGCACCGTCCGACCTTCTGACAGCATCTTCCCGGGCACACTGCTTGCCCACGGACCTGGTCACGACCTCATTCGGATTACCAACCAGCCGTGCCAACCAACTAGCCCGCGCCTCTCGGGACGTATTATGTCAATGGGAGCAGCAGACAGCAGTGCTCGACCGTCAACGTCCATACGGATCTGCGCTCGCCCTTTTCGCGCCTCCACTAGGACGGTACACCTGTGAGGCGCAGGGTCGTTGCCGATGATCCTTCGAACCCAGCAAATGCCGCCAGTGTCAACTCTATTGCATGGTACGCCTTTGGTTAGCCATCTCCCGTTCGGGACTCATTCTGCGCGAGTGCGCGCGCCCGCGCAAGAGAAGCCAATCTAACCACACTTCAACTACACGAGCAATAGAGCTCGTCCGTTGTTTGGGTCGGAGACTATATCTTAACCCCCAAGAGAAGATTTCGGTCGTTGTCCGGGGAGGGGGTGGGGGGTAATTGACGTGGAGCATCTAGATCTGCCAAGCACACCTTGAATTGACAAGGGGTGCCTCTGTATCAGAATATTGAGAGCTCGCCACGGAGCCATGGCCTTCATCCACGGCAACGGCATGTTCTTTTGCTAGTGAACGATGACCAGCCACTGGCCGAGGTAGGACGAAACACTCGTCACTGGGCCCGGGAAATGCCATTGTGAGTTCTTGTCAAACATTGGTCCGTATAGGCGTAGTTTAAGGTGTCAGGGCGCGGAGACTTACCAGATGGTTTACTGTGTCTCTAGTGGCATCGATGGTTCCAATGATGAAGGCCAGGTAAGGTGTGAGGCATAGCCGCATAGGTACAGAATCCTACCCGATTCCATCTCGGGAGGGACGTTATGGCGCGGCAGAGAGAAGCCGCCACAAAACTCAAGGTGTGTGTGTGTGAGAGAGAGAGAGAGTGTTTTGGTGGTTTAAGACGACGCATCTTAGCCCTATGTGAGGAACTTTGGGAGAAGCTAGGCCTTGTGTGCGGGCTGAGCTAGGTAGCTTGGGGAGCAGTGGTTTTGAAACCTCCCCCCAAAAACCCCAAGTTGCTACAGATTAGCTACTGCGCTACGTACCTTACTTTCACCTTAAGGTGTACCTTGCCGCGTATGGATTCTGGGCGACGGCGGCCTGGAATGGGCCCAAAGGCCACAGCTCACCACCAAGTGGGCGGTGGTGACTGGTGGAGGGATCGGCCGCCCGCCCTACAGAACGCCAGGCGAAAGCTTGGATCTGAACGGCGGCCCCCAAATGGGGCAGCAGTTCCCGCGTCGGGGTAAGGGCGATTCTGCCGCAACAGCGCATACCAATTACCTTAGCTGACAAGGTACTCTCTGTAGACTGAGGTGATTCCAGGAGCCAGAGCGGCGCTGCCTTTCCGTTGCTTGACATGGCATGACTAGGTACGAATAGGCGGATGTTGGCGACGAACGGCGCGGACTGAACTGTGCATTCTACCGTTTACCATTTCCCAAACACCCCCCCCCCCCCCAAGGACCCCAAGGTGCTTCTGCGCTGGCAGATCCTTCAACGAGAGAGGCGCCGAGCAAAGGATGAGCGCGAGGGGGAGGCGGCGAGAGAAACGGGATCTCTCTGCGCGTGCGTGCGTGCAGCCCTACGGGACGGACATAAGGTACGGAGTAAGGTGTTTATTGTCGCTCTGTATCCGTGTCCGTAGCACATACGGATGGGATAAAGCCTGTCCGCGCCAATATCCGTACGAACTCCCTGCCCTGTCCTTTCTTGTGTAACACCAGAAGTTGGCAGGGGATGCGATCCTTGGTACCAGTACAGGACTGTAGGTACGGGTGTACTCCGTACGTGAGTACGTTCTTCGTGGGTGGGGCGCAGTGAGTCCTCGATGGTAGGTTGGTTTCCTCAAGGGCTGGCTACCTAGAAATCTAGGACTATTGTCGAAGCATTGAAGCAGAGCAAGGCGTCCACGAGGTTATTCCTAACTTCCTGCATATGAGATATATCGAGAGCAACTTACAAAGCAAGACAGCTGGCTCAAAGGAGCGAAACCTTGACGCTATGTCATCCAATGTGAACCGAGCGAATTGCTCATTCGATTTGTTGGCGACCCGATTGACGCGGGAAGTCCGACAGTTGTCACCTGGTCCATCGTCATCCATGAACCCGAAGTCTGGCCAGCCTGGAGCTTCAAGATGAAGGATGGATTGATTGATGCACAATGGATACCAAAATAAGATGGGTAAACCCAGACTGCCTTTGACTTGACGCGCTTGATTCGCGATGGCATTTCGAGGTAGCATTTCGCAGGTATTGATAGAAGGAGACGAATGCAAGTGGGCAAAATTAGCCCAGGCTAGTAACCGTAAAGCCAATGAGAATGCTTCTGCTGTGCCGCGTGCTGCCACCAACCAAGGTATTAGCCCTCCAAGTCGACTTGGTCCCACGGACGATGTTGAATGGCCTATCTACTATTATTATTGAGCATCTCGATATATCATGGTGGTGCTGTCGGGTTCTAACAATACCCAAATGCCTCTCCCAAGATTGGTAGACAAAATTGGCTTCCCGAAGGGGTTTTCTAATTCTGAACTTGATAGAGTACATCCGGGGGTGTTTCCGAGGATGCCATATGATGAGGAGTGGCTAGGCGCCAGCGATTGTCTAGGTCCCCTCGTCGAAATGGAGATGATGTCGTAGGGATTGATGGACACCAAACCCTTTTGCGTTCGTCGTACAAGTGATGCAGTCATTGGTATTTGAGGTGGATGATTTGGATTATCTAGCGAGCAGGAGTGGACAAGTACCAATGTTGCTTTGCCTTAGGTAAGTAAGGTAAGGTAGGTAAGGTCGGATGATTCGAGGCATTCGTAAGGGAAGGAAGGTATCCGTAAAGTAAGAGTCCCCGGGGCTTGGTGGTGCCGTCGGGTTGGCGCTGCCGCTGCCGCTGCCGCAGCCGCAGTTTAAACCCCGAGGAGCAGCGCCTTCCTTGGAGGTCCAGCCACCTACGGATACCTGCCAAAGGCGAGTGCCCCTGCCCCCGCGCTGAGTATTCCATTGTACGGAGTACGGATACACAGTAGGTAGTCTGGATGGAGTCGTGAGGAAGTTGCGGTTGATGGGCGTTGCTTTCCTCCCCCGGTCGTAGGACTCTCCACCCCCTGGGCCCTCGTAGATAGCAAGGTACCTACCTTAGGTACTCCGTAAGGTGCCTACACAGTACCTACGTAGCGTATCCGTAGGTTCTCCGTACCGGGCCACCAGCGTCAGAGCCAGTGCCACCCTTCCCTTGTCCCCAATGAGCAATGGTACGTACTCCAAAAGATACATACTATGTACTCTTTGGTGTGAGTCTGTGTCTCCCCTCGACGTGGAGACTCAAAACTTATCGCGAACCCTTGAACGACAGCCGCGGTGCACTCACAGCTTCTCTCGACCCGGTCGGGTGGAGCCATCAAAGAAAGTGCGAGATGGAGATGCAAGGTACGTACCTCCACCGCCGTCTCTGTTCAACTTACCTGACGGATACTCTTCCACTCTTCCACTCTTCCATGTCTTTGAGAATGAGAATGACTGAAAATGACACTCAAACACAACACCACTGTCGGACCCGACCCCTGCAACACAGCAACAGACTACTCCATCCATTACCGAGTATTGCCATCTTCATCTCCTCTTTTCACTCTCTCTCTCTCTGTCTCCTTCATGCTTCCCCCCCGCCCAGCCTGGACACTCTCCGAGTCCAACCTTGTCCTCCACCGGCCTAGATGCAGTGCAGCGCAGCATCCGTCCAGTGTGCATGTGTGTGTGCTGCCGCCTTTCATCGCCTACCGGACTGCAGCCTGGCCGTCAATCTGTGTGTGTTTGGTCTCTTCCAGCTCCGTCAAATCTCCTTGCTGCGGCCCAGCCCAGCTGATCCCTTACCGGTGTGCCCATCTCTCCTGTGCTGGTGTGCTGGTGCCAGCCTACAGCCTACCGCATACACTCACCTCTCTCCCAAGCCGTCCCGTCGTAAAGAGCTCCCGTTGAAACTGAGGCGCCCAGTATCTGTAAACGGAGAGGGGAACGAGGCGTTGCTCTTGGCTTGCTCCGTTTAAACCAAAAGGTCATCAGGCACCTTCTCGACCACCCACTTGTCTCTTGTGTCTGCGGACTGCTGCCGTTCTCTCTCTCTCTTTCACACACACACACACACACACTCTCTCTCTCTCGCTCTATCTCTGCCCTATGGTCCCTTCACCCCCCCCCCCCACCCCCTTTCACTTTACTATTAACACGCCCGTATCCTCAACCCTCTCTCTCTCTCTCTCTCTCTGTCTGTCTCTGTGTCTAGGTCTGTTTCTTCCTCGCTCTCTTGCCCCTCCCCCCCTCCTTATTCCTTCCCATGCGCCCCCATCTCCATCCCTAGGCATCGTGGTATCCTACCTTACCTGAGATGGGTAATTCGTAGGCTTCCTCACTTCACCCACACCACATCACACCCCCCTTCCTCACAGCCGCACGCCCTCCCCCTGCCTCCCCTCCCATCCCCTCCTCGTCTTCTGGCGTAAGGCACGGTACCTGTACGAATACCCTTCATCTGCTTGCACGTCTCTCTTGCTGCGATACCTTGTACTAGTGTAGGGTCGCCAGGCTATGTGGAACCTATCTACATAGTTACAACTCCACGCCCTGCGAGGCACCCCTGCTTGTACTTGGTGGTCCTTCGCACTCACGCCGCCAGCCCTGTCGTTGCTGCCAGCCATGTCATTGCTCCCGGCTTGCTGGGCGGTTCGGGCTGAGCTCCTGTGAAGCCTTTGGGCTACTTTTTATTTAATAGCTTGCTCTCCCCTTCCTCTGCCACATCTTGCCTCATCATCCAGACTTCCAACAATCTAGACTTGATATAAGTTGCGACTTGTCAACTATCACCAAGCTTCCTCTTCTACATCTTGAACCAACATCCCCCCCCATAATCCTCTTACACCAAGAAGCGCGACAACACCACAGCCCGCTCACAATGTCAATGTTCACCATGTCCCAACATCACCAATACGCCTACCCGGCAACAGCTCCCGCTCCCAGAGCATACTCTGGACACGGAACCAGCAGCGCCTTCAGCAGCTCCGCCAACCCTGATGAAGACTGGACCAAGATCTCCGACCTCGCTGAGCGCAGGAGGATCCAGAACCGCATTGCCCAGCGCAACTACCGTACGTCAAAGTCATAGCCACCCAACGATACCAGCACGCAAATACTAACACCGACTTACAGGCAAGAAGCTCAAGAGACGCCTTGAGGACCTCGAGAGACGCGCTGGCCAGGAAGGCACATCCCCCACCGAGAAGCCCGCGGCAACCAAGAGCACCAAAAGCAAAGCGGCGGGCAAGACACAAAAGACGCCCCCACCAACAAAGACCATGAACCAGGGCCAATTCACTCCTCCTATGAACAACGACGACGAGGTCTTCTTCGCACAACAGCACTACGAGGATGACCGCGGCAGATCCATCACTCCTCCGTTCCTCACATACTCAACCTACCCCCCGGCTGAAGAGATGATCATGGCTCCCGCTTACACCACACAACCGTACCCCATGTCTGCCGCCGAGTATCCCACATATCTCGCCGCAACGGTACCGGTCACGTTACCGCCCATGAACCACTTCCAAGACGCCATCAAGCGCGAATCGTACCACAGCGACGACGGTCTTTCTCCCTACATGAACTACGCGTACATGCCCAGCATGGACATGAACGCGCAAAACTCCTACGACCCCACGAACCCTCATGTGAGTTATATGCGACAACCGCCTTCCCGCGATACATGATGCTGATGGGTTGATGAGCAGACTCCTCCGCTCTCACACTCGTTTGACCACTCGGCCAACTGTTCCGACGCCGGCTACGAGTATCCCACAACACCACTCTCCATGCCGGGATCTCCTGGCATGATCCAGCAATAGAGAGCGCAGCGCGAAGGAGAAGGAAAAACGAATATGCAACATCCCTGTCTATCGGAGCGTAGCATTTCTGGCGACCACAATTTGGGTTTCCATCACCACTTGGTTCTTTTTCATCCACGACCCCCCTTTTTTTCCTTTTGCACATGTTCAGCGTGGCTTTGGCCAGGAGTTCGGGGGCGTACGGATCGCATGTATTGGTCGAAGCGCTCGACCTCACGGAGATATGACTGGGAATAGGCGACGGCGTTTCACTTTGGGCAGACTGATCACATCGAGGGTCGTCTTGTTACGAGGTTTGATACGGCAGTCCAAAATTTAAAAGACGAGATTGTCCCAAACATTCTTTGTACTACTATAGAGAGCAACCTCAAAAAAGTAACACGATATCAATCACATGAGTGGAGCATCCGCCTTGACTGTTGTGAGGTGTTCGTGCTTGGAAAGGTGTCCGATGACGAGATGGGCGTTGGTATGGGGGCCGAAAGGGCGGCAGCAATAGGACGGGACAGCCTGGTAACGAGAAACAGCAAGTTCTAGCCCGCCGTGGACGACTATACGTATCGTAGGATTATACGAAGCGTGCAGGGAAGGCGGAGTTAAACATCAGTCTGGCCGAGGGCGGGTGCGGAGAAAATAGCTTAAAGTTTCTTAACTCCTAGTATTCGTGTGGACTCGGGACAAAGCTCGAGACTCGAGATACAAACTACAAGTCTTGGCCAAGGTCAAGGCAGCTGACAAAGCACTTTGAGGAGCAGACTTTTTGGGGTTGAGGATGAGGGTGGTGCTGGGTTATTCGTAGCATGCGTAGAGGCTAAGACACGTCCATGGGGGAAGAGGCAGACAGGAACTTAGACACCATGCTTCAGGATTTTTACCGAACTGTGGGAGGAATTGTTTCCATGATACCTCACTTCTGAAGAAGACGGTGATTGTCGATAAATGGAAAGACCGGGATTCCAGCAATCCTGAGCAAAGCAGTACACTAGAGATGAACGATGTTGCGGTACCACCCACGAATGAGCCTCTGCCGCAAGCGAGTACTCGACAGGGATCAGAGACCAAGACAACTGGAGAGAGCGGAATGGGGGGAACGAGGGGCGGAAAGCATATACGCGAGAATACCTATCGTCCCTCCATTTTCTTCAACATAACGCGCAACATAACGCACGACAAGGCTCCCCAAAAGTACCTGAAACAAGATCACGAAGACATCAGGGAGATTCACGAGCAAACAACGTAGAAACCAGTGCAGCCTGGTAGAATAGATACCCACGTGATTTCGCGGAATAAGAGGGAATCTGTGCCTTGGACAAATTCCCGACGGGCTGATGTTCGCCCGTAGCCCGGTCGGATCTTGTGAATTTTCGTCATATGCCTTTACGTGTCTTGGGGCCGGACGCCGTGGCGGTGGAACGGCTTTGGTAGTCGTGGCCTTCAGCCAAAAGTCCCAAAATATAGCACTTTTTGAGGATTGTCTGTAGATAACTCATATAGGGTACATTGGGTCGGGATAGGAAGAAGGGGAGGGTGGAAGGGCGCTTTCAGAAGCATGCCTTACACGGCAAAGTCCGAACAGCCTGCCGCCGCCTTTTACTTGCCCCCTTCTATGAGGAGCATGAGAGGAGAGTTCTTACACATGACAAATGGAGCGGGAATATGGCGTGTCAAGAGCATGAAATGGGTGTCTGGACGGATATTACGAAGACGATACGGATCATTCGTACACGGCGGCAGGGCAGAGCCGGGCGTCGAGAAGGTCTCAATACATCATGTCAAAAGGGAACTTTGGCTGCTGTTGCAGGGCATTCGCAAGGTGTGGCATGGCATGGGATCAACGCCTTCATGGGTCGATGATGGTTGGGCGGACGGTCCGGGGATGGCATTCGGATGGCCCAAGGGAAGTACGGGATTTGAACCGCTTCGCTTGTCACTCTTCCCTATTGCTGCGAGCTGCGTTTATTTCTCGATTAGGGAAGCATGGCCATTGTCGTACAAAGAGAGAGAGGCCGACCCGCCCCAGGGTTATCACTCGGGCTCTGGGCCAAGGTGACACAATGAGGATTCGAGTCGGCTGTCAGGTTGCGTACTGCTCTTGTCACCCCCCCCCCCCCCCTCCTCCCGCAAGCGCAGAAAAAGGACCAAGCATTAGGAGAAGAGGGGAGGGGAGAGAAGCAAGACTGACTGATAGCGCGTGCAAGAGTTGCCGGCGACCGCATGATGTGTCACCAACGACTTTCATCCTTACCGGTTTGCCAAGGGGGGACGGCCGCGAGTTCGGTTTGGTGACACAGCATTCGAACGTAGACGCAGAAGGGGAACTGACTTGCACGTATTGGAGGCGCTTTGCCGCGAAACCCTGGAACGTCGGTCGAAGAGGAGGAGTAGGGGGTGTGGGGTGTAATTGGGGGAGCCCAAACGGTCGGTCGGTTCAGTCAGTCTGGGGTAAGAATTGTTGATGAGGCCATGCTCCCCTTGGCACTGATTGACTACAAGAGATTGGGGAACTTATGGGAGGCGTTTCTAAACTTTACCACGGCCAGTCTCCAAAAGCTTAGCAACTTTTGGGCTAGTTTCTACTACCAGTCTTGTATCCGAACGCCTACGGATGTTGTTCAACTGGGGGAAGTCGCCGGAAAGTCGCCGAGGGCGGCAGAACGCCATCTTTTTGGAGGGAGGAGGAAGACAGCCGAGTGGGAGGGGAGTGCGGGATAAGGAGACAGAGAGGCTCGAGGGTGGCCGTGAAAGAGACGGGAGAGAGAGATCCCGGGGGGCGTGTGCCGTGTGCGAGCTTGTCTTCCGGAGTTAAGCCCCGACTGCTTTCTGCCAACCCGTGCCATCACTGCCGTGTCAAGTCGTGCAATAGTAGAGCCTCCTCTTCTTAGTAAGGATTCCATCCGAAGTGCGAGCATCTCAGGATAGGGAAGTTAATCTGTGGGCCGAGATGGGGCGGGGACAATTCACTTTCACCGGACAACAATCCATGGTACTCGCGTTAGTCTGGAAGTCGCGAGATATTCTTCTGAGTTGTACAACCCATCAGCATGATAGGAGTTGTTCTGTAATAATGCCATGTACCTAAGGTACGCAGTGCCGGCAAATGTGCATAATAATGCCGCTAGAGGTCTCACTTTCGCGTGTCCTTTAAATAGAGTCGCGGCCTTTGGAGGAACAAAACACTTTCCCACCACCTCATCTTATGTCTCTGCCCTCTCTCTCTCTCTCTCCCTCTCTTCGAACCAAAAACAGGTAGCGCTATTACTAGTAACTGTGAACCGTGACGCTGCGCACGGCCTAGGCTGGTACGACAGGTTGCATATGTCGGCGAGATTTTGAAAGGTGCCGAAGTTACGGACTCTTGCAATTCGTCGCTATGATGATGGCTGCCGAACAACCATAACTCAGACTGAACGTTTTCCGGCACTTACCTTTAGGCTCCAATGGTCCCAAAGGATCATCCGACAAATGGAAGAACGGTGGGATGTGCAGGCTTTCCCTCTGTACTCCGTAGGTGGAAACGGAATCGGGACCGGGGCCGGAATAAGATCGGACGGAGTTAGGGGCCGTTCAACAACAGAAGGCATTACCCCAAAGTTTCTTCCATCGATACAATGCTCAACCATATTCAACCACGTCTGCGCAGCCAAGTCCCAAGTCTTGGATCAAGGTTCCTTGAAAAGAGTAGACAAATACTTGGAGTGTGTTTGTTGTATACTTGATGAACTTTTGACTAGTGGATAAATCATGCGACTGAATAGGCACGTTCTAGACCTCCAGCCTACTCCAATATTCAACCCGATTTTGTCCCTTTACTTCATCTCAAAACTCATCGGGGAGATCTGGAACCGTCGTCATCCCGTCTCAGTCGGCTTCAGCCATGAACCATATTAGGCCGTCAAAAGGCCTTGCCCGCCTCCCCGTCTTACTAAGTCACGAGTCTTCAGAACCGCCATCTTCCTGGTTACACACTCGGGGCCGATCCGGCAGAAGACGGGGGCACAAGACCGGCCCCCGTCAGCTCGAACGCCCGTCCCCATAATCCCGTCACTGCGCTAAAACAACATCCGTCCACGGTCATTTCATGCCTTCTCCAAGGGCGCAATCAAGACAAGCTCTTGGGATCTGCTTACAACAATAGGGGTGGTCGGGGAGCTGCAGAATACAGAGAAGAAAATGGTTAGTGATTAGTGATGAACATACACCACACCACTCAGGTGCAGCTCTCCCCACAAGCATCAATGTCAATATCCATCAGCAACAAGGAACATCCCTTACGTTGCCTTACCTGGTCGTGTCTACCAAGTCGAATGTGAGCCAGATCATCCCAAACAGACATCGTAACGCCCCGCACCGAGGCGATGAATCGTGAAAATTAAGACGATGAGAAAGTGGTGTCGCTCATCCGAATCCGTCGAGGCGAGCATTAAGTTAAGCCTCAGCTATTTTCGAGTTTAGCCCACGCTAGGCTCTCAAAGACATATGAGCTTGAGCCCGGCGTGCCGTCTTGAGGCCAAAGCTGCCTTTGGAACATTGACACAACACACGCAGACAAACTAAGGGCCTTGTGGCTCAACCTAAGATTGATCTCATTCGTCATTGCATTTTACACTTGAGTTTCGCGCTCGCCTTCGCGACCTCGCCCAGCTCGCCCCTCGGTGTCGCTCGCGCTGAGCCGCACCATTTCAACTTCAGCAAACCACCGTCTATGTAGTGAAGTTTCAGTTGCATTCTAAAGTTAACTTTCTCGCGTGACATAGCGTGTAAAACCGTTCTTAGCCGTGAAGCAAAACCCGTTCAACCATCTCCAACGGGTGAGCAATCCTGTCAATTGGCTGGCTCGAAGATTGACACCATTTGCCCTAGCGTTTCTCGGCCTTCCTTCTCGGCTCCTTGGCGGAACAGGCCGTGATGATCTCCACAGTCTGAGTCTTGATTCAAACGTTCTGACAAACCGCCTTTTTCCAAATGCATAGGCTTAGCTTCGTAGTGCTTCGGGGTAATTTGAGACAATGACACAGCGATCGAGATGCCACTCCCACCTCCAAGGACGACTATGTACGTCCTTTTGCCAATTATGGAGCCGAACCCATATGGATTCAATCGATCCTAGGCAGCAATTAGAAGTAAATAGGGAGGCACTGGTGCTTTGTTTGAACTAAGGTATGCGCTGTGATGTGAAGGAGGGAGGATGAACATCACAGCCGTTGTACAGCCACAATTCAGGACGTCTGTGGGAGCTTAGGTAACTAGATTGCTGAGCCACAATAGCTACCGGGACCCATTCTGGTGGGGCCATGTTACACGCCTCTGCCCACTCATCCTATTGGCCAGGATTTATGTGGGAGCTCACCAGCCTCGCGAACGCTCAGATGAGGTCGTCATGATCCTTCGCGCTCTTCAACGACTATTGTCCACCGTCGACCGGTCACGACACAGCCCTATTTTGGAGCCAATTCCGTCCCTAACGCCAAATAATTGAACTTCGTCACTGGTTTTTGGCCCGTTTTCTGCCAATTGACCAGCTCGAATCTTCGTGCCATCAGTTCTGTTCCGAACCCGCGCCTCAGTGCAACTGCCGATATAGCCACAGCTTTGCCAACCCGCCAAAGCGCTCATCATGCCTCCCGATTGGAAATTGCTCTACCTTTACGGTGGCGACAAGTCAGTGTGCCCAAGTTTGCTTCACAAGCGTTGCTCGTGGTCATGCCTGACCATCCGGCCTCGTTTTCTGATTCCCGTGTGAAATTGCATTGTTGACCATCAGGTGCAGCCCCTGGGACTCAAGTCTGTGGACCGATTCAGATGACAGAGTACGTGGCGGTAAGAGCCAGTCCCATTTGCACTGCGAGTCACCGGAGAAGGCTGAGTTCTTCGGCAACTTGGACATCACCGCTCTGGGAGGAGCAGGATTTGCGTCGCAGAGGACACTCGGCACACTTGACCTAGACTTGAGTCAGTACGACGGGCTTGCTATCAGAGTCTTGAAGAGCGATTCCAAGAAGTACACAGTCACTATCAAGGATGAAATCCTTCCTCCGAGAGAGGATGGCCGCGACCAGAGCACCATCAGCTGGGAGTATGACTTTGTTCCCGAGGAGGGCGAAGTGAAGATCCCGTGGGAGCAGTTCAAGGCAACCTACAGAGGCAGGGACAAGCCTGATGCCAAGCCACTGGACATTGCCAACATCAAGAGAATCAGCTTCATGATGCGAAGGTAGGACGCAAGCCTGTTTGCGAAACAATCCCCCGGCTGTTGTTAACACCATCGCAGCTTCTTTGGCACCCAGTCAGGTGATTTCAGCTTCACCGTTGGCTACCTGGCGGCTTTCAGCAACCGTCGCGAATCATCGGGCTCCGATGTCTCGTTCCAAAAGGAATATGTCGCTGCACCTGCACCGGCTAAGTCATCATCATGGTTGAGTTGGCTTTGCGGATGGGGAGATAAACGAGTTTAAGATGCTAAGGCGACTGCAAAGCTGTATGGCAAGGCGGGTAGGAAATCACTATTGTTATTTGACATCCCAAGATATTCCATGGCGTCAGGGTAGGCAAGTGAATTTCATTCCATAAGGCTACATAGAGCTTTAAGCAATCTGGCCCAATACCTTGATCAAGTCAGCAGTAACACCCATGGCCGTGACATCGCCACCGGCACCTGCACCCTGGACGATGAGAGGGTTGCTGCCGTAACGTTCCGTGTAGAAGCTGATGATGTTGTCGCTACCCTTGAGGGCGGCGATGGGGTGAGATGCGTCGAACTGCTCTAGGCCAACCTTGACCTGCTTGCTGGCAACATCGATGCTGCCAACAAAGCGAACGACCTTGCCCTGCTTTTCCGCAGCAGCCTTGGTCTCCTCCATTTGACTGTCAAACTCGGGCAGTTTCTGAAGGAACTCGTCTCCACTCGAGCACGACTCGAGCTCCTTAGGAATCAAGCTCTGGACGGGGAACGATGTGGGCGATTCGACGGGGAGTCCTGCCAGTCTGGCGAGAATGGTGAGCTTGCGGGCGACGTCGAGGCCGTTGAGGTCGTCTCTCGGGTCGGGCTCCGTGTAGCCCAGCTCCTTGGCCTTGGCCACCTCGGCAGACCACTTGCCGCCGGCGCCCGATGTCGGAGCGAAAGAGTTGAAGAGGAAGGACATGGTGCCGCTGAAGACACCCTCAATCTTGGTGACGCGGTCACCCGTGTCGACGAGATCCTTGAGGGTCGAGATGACGGGCAGGCCCGCGCCGACGGAAGATTCGTGGTAGACCTTGGCGCCGGAGGTCGAGGCCGCGTTGAAGATATCCTGCCACAGCTTATAAGAGCCAGAGAAGGCCTTCTTGTTCGGGGTCACGATGCTGATTCCCTTGCCGAGGAAGACGGGGTATGCGTCGGCGACATCCTGGGAGCTGGTGTTGTCGACTAAGACAACCTTGGCCGGGGCGGCGGCAAGGTAGTCGGCGAGCTGAGGGAGAGGGGGAGGGGCTTGCGAAGCGCGAGACAATTCCTCGATGGCGCCGGCAAAAGGGGTAGGGGTGTACTTCGCATCGTACAGGGCCTTCTTGCTAGTCGAGATGTAGATCAAGTTGAGCTTCGGGGAGGGTCTGCGAGTGGCCAAGGCCTCGAGCTGGGACAGGAAGCACTTTCCGACACCACCAGCACCTGTAACACCCCGGTTGGTCAACCCAAGTTTGCTAACACGTGCAGTAGGAGGAAGAAAAGCCTTGAGGTTGTTTTGAGAGGTGAGCAATTCTTACCGATGATGGCGATGAAAACTTGTTTGGAGGAGGCCATTGTTACTTGCTTGATTGACTTTCGTCGATTGACTCAGACGTACTGGCAGAAGAGTATGTTATGCAAGTGTACGTTGGGAAATAGACTCATTTTCGAAGCCCCTCCGACCGCGGGGCAGCTCTTAGTGGGGTAAAAGCCATTCAGACCCCGATAATCTGTCGGTGAGTGCGGGGTCGGTGTTCCACTCACCGAGGACAACACCGACCTACTCACCGAGCGACCGCATCCGGCAGACGGGCATGTCGGCATTCCGCACCTTTCTGAAGACCGAAGTCCAGGGAGCTTGGGCCCTCCTTGGCCAGGTCGTGTCGTCATTCACTCCAGTCTCACCAGGGGTGAGCTTCGGCCGAGTGGACTTCATACAAAGCCATAGGGCTGACTCTACAGCAAGCTCAATTCGATTCTGTAGCTCATAAAGGGTTGCTTGTCCCCGATCTTGCACCGTGGTGGAAAACAGGCGGTTTCCTCGCAACAGCATCGCCCATCATGTCCCTACTACAATCTCTTCTGCACCTCACCAACTTCAAGAACCCTCTGCTGCGGACTCTGATCCCCGCCGTCTCAGCAGCATATGCGATCCAGGCAGCCTTTGCTGTACCGTCAATCGTCGCCCAAAATGAACGTTTCTACGACTTCTCCGGGTCGCTGACCTACTTGTCCGTTACTGCTCTGAGCTTATACCTGCCCTCTCTCCGTGCCAAATACTCCTCGGCCGTTGCCAGTTCAGCACCGCTCCCTGGTCTGCTCGAAGCGTTCACCAAGCCCGGTGGCGTGGGAGCCCTCAACTGGAGACAAGTCGTCATCAGCGGTGCCGTCGCGTTCTGGGCTGTCAGACGTAATATGCCACTCCTCTAGCCGCGCGTGATGGCCAAAAACTGACTGATTGTGAACCGCAGTCGGATCATACCTCTTTCAGCGCATCTTGGAAGAAGGCAAAGACTCTAGATTCGACGAGATCAAAAAGTCCCCGGCGAAGTTTGCTGGCGCCTGGTTCGCCCAAGCAACCTGGGTTTCCCTCTGTCTCATGCCCGTCATCGCTTTGAACTCCGTACCAGCCGCCGCCTTCGCCTCCCTTCCCGCTTTCAAGATCACGGACGCCATTGGCCTGTTCGTCTACGTCGCTGGCTTCGCATTCGAGATCACGGCAGACAGGCAGAAGAGCAAGTGGCTGCGCGAGAAGCGCGCAAAGGCCCACGACGAGGAGTTCATGACCAAGGGTCTGTGGAGTGTTAGGTATGTCTGGCGATTACACCTGAGCGGTGCGCGTGCTGCAAGACCGCATGCGACGCTACCCTTCGACGCTGCGAGAACAAGACACAAGCTGACCCTCTCTGTAGCCAATACCCCAACTACTTTGGTGAGATGTCACTCTGGACAGGTATCGCGACTGCGGCGGCTGGAGTACTTGTGACACAACCCATTCAATTGGCCCTCGGCTTGTCGTCTGGTGTCACCGGGCCACTTACTGCGATGGCCATGTCCTATGTGAGCCCGGCCTTTGTCAGCTTCCTTCTCCTCAAGGTGTCGGGAGTGCCCATGAGCGAGAAGAAGTACGACAAGCGCTACGGTGACCGCAAGGACTACCAGGAGTGGAAGAAGAACACACCCAAGTTGTTCCCCAAGATCTTCTAAGTGCGCAGGTACTGCTGTGGGCATCATAATCTTCAATGCATCTATCATGATTTGGGATATACTCAATGGTCAGCGAGCTTCACTCTGTAGATGATTCAAACGTGCAATCCATTCAATGCATATCCTATTCCTGGCCAACGCAAGGTTACGATCTACGGCCAGACAATTATCCTTGAGCTCGCAACAAGGAATCCTCAATCCAATCCCTTCTTGGCACGTAGCCAGCCATCCTCATGTTCATTGCATTTGTCCCAAAGCGCCACATTAAAGAAGAAAAAACCACCCGCCGGGTTTCAGTAAATCATGAAATGCGCCGTGTTCTCCCACATTTTGGTGTAAGATGGTATGTAGCACGAGGACACCAGTCGTTCTTCCCCAGCAATATGCTTTACTGGTGGAACTTCTTGACCTTCTCAACTTCGTCGAAGCTGCCCATAAAGATTCCAGCCCTGTCGTGAATACCCTCGGGAACGACGTCCAGCATTCTCCTCATTTGGCTGTCTACCGCTTGGCCACCGGCTGTGATGATGTTGTTAGTATGCTGCGATTCAACCGGTCTAACAGGCTGCAACTCACCATTCTCAAATACCAAGGCCATGGGCGCGCACTCGTACAGGATACGAAGCTTGCCCTTGGGGCTCTTTTTATCCGCCGGGTAGGCAAAGACACCTCCGTACAGCAACGTACGGTAGGCGTCGGCGACCATGGAACCAATGTAACGCGCGCTGTAGGGCTTGCCGTTCTCCTGCGGCGTCTTCAACGAGTTGAAGTAGTTGTTGGTGCTGTCCTCCCAGTAGAGCGAGTTACCCTCGTTGACGGAGTAGATGGCGCGGGACTGGGGCAGGCGCATGTCCGGGTGGGTGAGGATGAACTCGCCGACGCCGTTGTCGAGGGTGAAGCCGTTGACGGTGCCGCCCTTCATGGTGAGGACGAGCTGCGTCGAGGCGCCGTACATGGTGAAGCCGGCGGCCAGCAGCTCGGAGCCGGGCTTGAGGATGTCCTCCTTTGTGCCGGTGGAGCCCTCGGGCAGCTTGTGGATGCCAAAGATGGTGCCGACGGAGACACCGGCGTCGAGGTTGGAGGAGCCGTCGATGGGGTCGCAGGCGACGGCATAGCGGGCGCCGGTGGCGTCCTTGAAGAAGATGATCTCCTCCTCCTCTTCCGATACGAGCAAGGCGCAGCGGCCAGAGGACCTCATGGCTTCGATGAAGAGGTCATTGGAGATGACGTCGAGCTTCTTTTGGTCGTCGCCCGTGATGTTGGAGGAACCGGCCAGACCCGTCAGGTTGACCAGGGTAGCTCGGCGGATGTAGTATGCGATGGACTTGAAGGAGAATTGCAGAGCGTGACACAGAAGACTGGGGCTATTGTTAGGAGCTATCACGGGGGGTTGGAAGCGCGTATGAGACCTACGTGAAATCTCCGGTGGCTTCCTTGTGCTTGGTTTGCTCTTCCGTCAGGAAACGGGTCAAGGTGATAATGTTGGTGTTGATCTTCTCGGTCTCTTGTTCACCGGCGTTCGTTGTGTAGGCTGACATGATGGGCTATATTTTGGTCTACAGGTACCGAGTCTTAGCTATCAATGGTAGAGGAGGAATGGCCTGGACAGCTTGTGAACAGAGAGAGAAAACTTACGGAATAATTCCAATGGAGGACGAGGGGTTGACACTTGCGATGGCGGGGTTCACGGGAGCTCTAACAAAGAGTGTTGCGCACTGACACAATGGTTCGGGATGTAAGCCGAAGGATAGTAGAGGATAAGTAGATGAAGGGAAATGTTGCAGGAGGAAGGGAGGGAGAGAGAGAAGAGAGAGAGAGAGAGAAATAGTCAAGAGATGCGATCACGAAGGAGGAATTGGAAGGGGAATGGACCTTGTTTGTAGTCCCCGGGTCTTGGGGCATGGACTATTACTAGGTAATTACCTGAGACTTCAATCATCAGCGTTGCCGGAAGCTCTCGTGTGTGTACTTCCGTACCAAGGGGTCCTCTTCTGGCTCTCGATGGGCAAAGGCATGTCCATGGCCCAGCCATGGGAAAATGCCCCTCAGTTCGGCATACGGCTATCACAGGGCCACACGTCCTATTATCGCGCTCGATCCCGAGTCACCACGACAAAGTGGAGTCAACCGCAGGCACCTCCGGCCGAGGGGAACCCGAGACATGGGGACGCGGGCGCAACAAGGAGAGGACGCAAGGCGTCCCTCGAGGATTTCTCGGAAACCCTCGGCGCGGTGTGCAGCGAGCACACACGATGGCTGCGGCAGTCTACGGGTGGCTTTGGGAAAGCAGACTCTGGGAGGGCGGCTGGGCTGGAACAGAGAACCTTGCCTTTGGCGGGGGCGGGGGGGCCACGCCGCACCTTTGTGTGGGCAACGCAGCTTAGCAACACTAATAACTCGCGTCGAGGGGGAGGGGCTCCAGAGCCAGAGGCAACTCTTTCGGGGATAGGAGATGAGCAGACAGGGGAGCGGCAGAGAAGCACGGCGGATAAGACATGACCGATGGACGAGGTGACATCATGCGGGCGATGGGATGGAAGTGTTCTGGAGTCTGAACCCTAGCACCTTTTTCTTTCGGCTTCCAAGCCGTTGGATCTGACGGATATGTAATAATTGCTGTTCCGACGTATTACCCCGATAATATTCTCCTCTCTGAATAAGGATGTTGGGATGTTGGGATGTTGTATTTTCCATGTTCTTTCCCAGTCTGTGGTGAGAAAAAGGTGTTGACTTTGTCCGGACCAGTGTGCTTCATGTTGCTCCACGGGACGGCGGGGGTCGATTCTACAGTAGGTGCCGGATGGAAATAGAAAGACACGAGAAGTGGGATGGATAGTGAATGACAAGGGGGTTTCCGCGAACCCACTGCTTACAATTACCATAGGAGGAAAAACTAGTCATTGTGTAGTCATGGGAATTCAGCCTCTCCATACTGGCTGTGTGTGGAGAGGGAAGATCCAATATCCGTACCTTACCTCATAGAGAGCAGTTGGTTGCTCATGACTGGAAAAACGGTAAAGATTCAAATCAGAAGCGAAACGCTTTAACGCCTCATTGCCAGGCATAAATGGAGAATATTCTTGGCGTAGATGCTACCTCCCTACGCAGGACCTTAGCCGCAAAGGGAATTGTTCCGTATGCACTTGGTAATTAGGATATAAGTTGCCGATGACTGGCCCCTTAGGCCTTGGGTAAAACGTACTGCCGTCAATTGTCACGGGTCACTCAATTTCCCCAGCGAACCGCCCCACCTCCTTAGCTAAGCTGACCGAGTCGAAGAAAGTCTCTAGGCACGTGAGAGCCTTCTCCGCACCCGGCTGCTGCTGCTGTTGGCGTTATGGCTGCCCAGGTGCGCGTCCTTCCGTCTGTCTGGCCCCCCGGGTCCCCAGGCTCCCAGCCAGCACCCCAAGCCCCAGCTCTGGCGATGTCTCGGGTTCGCTGGCGGACCTCGGCATGTGGCAGCTCGTCTTTGAGCCGGTCGGCTTGCCCAATGCTCTGCTCTCTCTTTCTCTCTCTAAACCGCACCACCCCCGATAAGACTCCCTATTTGCTTTCGATACCATATTTGAATGCTACAACCTCCGCGTGAAGACCAGCCCACTCATCCATCTCGTGCTGCTTCCCCATCCAAAAAAGGGCCATCTCCATAATCCAGCAAAACATCATTATCCAACTCCACCATCGCATCCATCCCATCCGGTGATTTGCAATCCCATCAAGAACCGCCAAAATGGTTGCCGACGCCCTCATCTACCACCCGTCCGTATCGCACTACAACAAGTTCGTAGCCACCACCGTCGGCCGCGACAAGATCCTCCGCACCCTCCAGTACTTTGCCCGCTTCTACGCCTGGTACCTCTTCCGCACCAATGGCTCCAAGGCCGAGATCGCCCCCTGGGACGCCATCAAGAAGCAGTTCGGCCTGACCCGCAAGATCATGCGCATCGGCAAAAACGTCGAGCACTTCAAGGCCGCTGCCGTCGCCTCCGACGCAAAGACGATGGATCCCGTCCTCCGCTACGCCGCTGTCGGCCGCCAGCTGGGCTACGCCGGCTACCTGACCTTTGACGCCGCCACCGTCCTCGACGCCGCCGGCATCAGAAAGTGGGAGGGCGCAAAGAGGCTGCAAAAGGAGGCCTACCGCTTCTGGGCCATTGGCATCCTCTTCAGCGTCGTCGCCCAGACCTACACCCTCTACCGCCTCCAGCAGCGTGAGGCCAAGGTCGATAAGAAGGAGGGCGAGGGTGTCGTCGAGGCCAAGAGAATAGCAATGTACGTTCCGCATAGTCCCTCGAATGCTTTTTCCAAAGTTCTGGCAACACCAAGCTGACAAAACAAACAACAGTGAGCGCGCCGCCGGCCGTCTGCAGCTCATCTCCGACCTCTGCGACTTGACCGTCCCCACCTCTGCCCTCGCGTGGGCCAACTTCGACGACGGCATCGTCGGCCTTGCTGGCACCGTTAGCAGTTTGATTGGCGTGTATACCCAGTGGAAGAAGACGGCATAATCGCGTTGCCGCACGGAACAAAGGAAAGATAGTACGTTGTATATGTATGCTTGTGATGAATTGTGTTGTATGTCGGATAACGAGATGCGTCGTTGGAGCGATTGGTATTGTACTTGTCTACTAAATTGAAGAGGAGGAACGTTAGGGGTTGAGCTTGACTGAGGCAATGCTTTTGAAATCTTTTGGGCGTTCGGTATGCACCTAGCCTGAGCTGAAGGCATGGTGCCATGATGGGCGGGACAAGGTAGGCAGACTGCCAGCTACTCCCTGCTGTCGATGCGGACATGATAGTCGGCTTGGATACCAAGTAATCCTCTTTCACCAACATCGAATATTCAAGATATTTACGAACGGAGATATCTCTTGCTCTTGCTGATGGCAAGTCGTTTCAATCGCCCTCAGTCGCTACAGCTCATTTGGAAGAAAACCGGTCTGAGCCATGACACATGTCATTGTTCGATTGACTCGAAAGCCGGCCCCCAAGGACCAAAATTGTGCTCATAAAGCGAATACGCCATTTCATTTTTGGTGGATATCCATGCATGTAATCGTACAATATACATCAGGCACTCGACATTTTTTCCCCTCCTGAACTCAACGGACCCAGAATCGTTGCATCCGCAGCTGTGTTGTTGATGATGCTTTGACAAAAATCGCAATTTGAAACATGCCTCGAACGTCTGCTTGACGAACACCGTAGAGGCAGGCGTAAGCCTAACGCTGCTCAACCACCTCATCCTATTTCATTCTCACGGAACACCGCTTGTTGCCATTGATATTTACCATTGTGGCTGGAGCCACTAGAGTGGAGGTGCTTCCAGCATCTATTCAGAGTCAAGGACAGCCCCTATGAGGCAAGTTTATGAGCAGGAGTGAGTTACCAGTAACGGCCACCACGTTCATACTCGCGAGGGTACCCATCACGCGGGTAACCTGCTTCCCTGGGAGGGAAGTCTCTAGGGGGGCGATCATACGGCCCTCTGCCGTTGACATAAGGGTCGGGCGGCGGGGGGTAGTCCCGTCGGTAAGGGTCGTCGTAGCGGCCTCGTGGAGGGGGGTAATCGTCCATGGGGCGACGCGGAGGAGAGCGGTAACGAGCACGCTCGTCGTAGTACTCGCGGCGGGGACTACGCTCACGGTATCCCTCACGATAACCATCTCTGCGTGGGCTGTAGCCTCTCGGGGGACCACGTCGGTCGTAGTCGTCGACTGGAGGCGGGTAGGGTCGACGGCCGCCGCCGGGGGAACGAGACCGAGCGCTGCGCATGTCGCCACGAGGCGGCATGTCCGGTTGAGTCTGGTAAAACGTGAGTACAAAAATTCTCTCATCATCGGTCATCTGCTCTTGCTTACGTCTGCTACGCAGGTAACGCGGCTTCCCTTGAATTCCCGGCCATCAAGCTTCTCGACAGCGGTTCTCAAGTCCGCCGCAGTCTCGAATTCAACGAAGCTGGATAGAGTCTTGGTCAGCAAACGCAAAATTGCAGGTGTTGGGCTAAGGTCAACATACCCGCGCCCGTTGCCGTCGCGGGGCGTTTCCGAGTAGACAACGTCAAGGCTTGACTGACGAGCAAAGTCTTTGAGGTCCTATATCCAGAATCCATGTAAGTTGGTGTCCAGGATCGGTATGATGGGCCGAAGAGGGCTGGTAATCCAGGGTTCATAGACCAGTCGGCAGCAAGCCAAGGGGATTGAAGCCAGGAGTGGTGTCGTCCGGCATTGGGGTTCCGTCGCTGCTTTGGCAGGCCCGCGCCGGTTCAAAGAAACGGCCATGGACTTGGGAAAGCAAGGTTCAGGAGCGCAGCACGGTCCGGACTAGTCGACTGACAGGCCGCCAATGGCTTGGAGCTGAGGCTATACAGCATGCCGAAAAGTCCACAGTCCACCTCGAAGGGTACGATGAAGGTCCAGGCGCGCCATAGGCGCAAGAAGAGAAGGGAATCCAGGAATCCAGCTTAGAGAATGGGGAGAGAACAACAGACCTGCCAACTGGTATCGGTGGGAAGTCCCGTGATCTGCATTCGGTGGGGAGTGCGGCGAGGCCTGGGAGGAGCGCGCTCATTGTTGCCAAAGCCACCGGCACTGCCGCCCTCCCTGTGACGGGTTCCACGGGCAAATTGTACAGTCAAGCGTTCGCCCATGAAGTCGGATCCATCTTTTCAACGCTATGGTTAGCGCACCAGAAATGAAGGGATATCGTTACGCGGTGGGACGGCGCAGTAGGACATACGGAAGGCTAGGCAAGGAAGAAGTTAGCAACAGAGTAATGCATATAGGCGCAATCGTAATTAGAGCTGGGATCACCTACCAGGAACAACATCGCGAGCATCCATGGCATCCTTGTACTCGATGAAGCCGAATCCGTTCATGAGCTTTATTTCGGTAATTTCGCCGGTGCCATGGGTCGCGAAATGGGCCTCGACATCAGCCTTGGTGGCTACGAAGGTTAGCCAGGTTGCGATAAGAACGCGCCGGATGATGCGCAAGGCTGAGCTTACCATTGCGAGGGAGATTTCCCAGGTACAGCCTGGTGGAGGATACCTCGGTCATTGTGGCGTTGAATATGATGCGTCCTTGGGTAAACAGTCAGGGTCGGTCGCTGGATAGAAACAAAGGTTGGCCCAAGATTCCGGTCTGGATGGAGGAGAATTCGCGAAGGCGATGGTCCGCAGACCGGGCAGGGAGAGATGTCCAAAGGGTTTCCAGAGCAGTCCTAACAGAATAGCTGCGAAGGCAGAGAATGGGGCGACTGGGCCGGGGAGGACGAGGCTTCAACGGCACAGGCCGGCTTTGACCAAGGCGCAAAGATTGAGGTATACTGACGATTCAGGAAGACGAGATGCCCGGTCTAGTCGTCGCTCGACGTCTGCGAGAGGGGAATTGAATCGACGGGGGACGGTTGGTGGGCGGGGATATTATGAGGACGGGGATTTCGACGGTGACCCGGTCGGTCGAGTCGCGATGCGATTGGTCGGAGCAGAGATGGAATCTGACTGTGTGAGAGGTCAAGGACGCAGGATTCGGAAGAGGAGGAAGAGGAGGGGTTCTGGAATGGTTGTGGTTGTGGTGGTTTGCGGAGAATGGGACAAGGTGAGGTAGGTAGGTAGGTGTGGTGGTTAGGCAAATGGAAGGTATTTGATATTGCTTAGGTAGGTTGGCATCCGTACCTCAGGTAGCTACGCAGTAAGGTAAGGTAGGTACCCTTGGGCAGGCGGTAAAGTTCCTTACCTCTGCGACGGGAGGTACCGCGGTACAAACAGTGGGTACCTGATAAACCTATGTTCCTTGCGATTCGGTAGGCAGGAACTTAGGAAGAAGAGGAGGAGAAGGAGCCTTATTTCTTCCTTTTCCTCTTGAATGGGGGAAAAAAAAAAAAGAAGGAGCAGGGGAAACAGCAGGAGGCTAGGAGCTGTGAGTTCGAAAGGAAGGAGGGTGGAGCGAAAAAGAGAATCAGACATGGGCCTGGAGGGGAGGCGAGGAGGAGAAGACTGAATCTGGGCGTGATGGGCCGCCAGCCGCGCCCCAGAGCACAGCTGCGGCCTTCTGCTTCTGGTCCCAAGGTACCTTTGAGCAATGAGGAGAGCGCCTGCCCCCCCCCCCGGCGCACTAGACGTAGCATCAGCCAATGATCGCGTTTGATTCAGTCTCCTCGACCATCGTGATCCTGGCTCGTACCTGACGATGGTGGGAACCTGAGGTACCTAGGTAGGGAACCTCACCTCACTCCAAAGGTACTTTTTGAAGGTACACGAGCTCGGGTTCTTTCTTTGAGTCGCAGAACAGCCAACACCTTGCTTTCTTCATCACTCAAAATACTCAGCCAATCCCGTCTACCTAAGAGCTCTTTTGCCCAAGTCGTAAAGGTATCATGACCCTAAGAGTCCCTCTTCATTGATTCACTCATTCATTACAACAGCGATGGCCTGAAAACCCCGGGAAGATGAACCAAAAGCCTCTGGCTTGTTGGACATCTCACCTCGAGGAAGGAACCTTGCCGTTCAGCCAGATCAGTTACATCGCTCTAACCCGGCTCAGGTACGGATACCTCGCCAGACCAGGGTCTGCGAAAGGGGAACATCATGTCCGAGGGTTCGCTTTCATCCGATCAAGCTTCCATTCGGCTCCACGAGTCTATCTCACCAGAAATCTTGTGGCTAAGAGGGCAGCCAACTTTCGTTCTTGTTGTGTTGCAAAGTCTAGACAACATCTCGACTCAGCTTTGCGACAAATCCAGGGGAAGTCGCTCTATGCGCACAGGTACCTCACTAAAGGTATTCATACTGGTCATTGATCACGCCTAAAAGAAAAGGCATTCCAATTTCGGGCTAGCTCATGCACGTTGAATTTGACACTCTTCAGTTTGAAGGCCGTCACCTGTGGCTAGCTCCAACGGTCACACTATTTAACTCTATCGTTTTATATTACTAGAGGATTACCGCAGTATATATAGACGCTACCCTACCCTCGAATTCCGCACTATTTAACCTTAACCCTTTTTATAAGTTACTTATCTTTTTTTTTATTCTACCCTCTCCCTTAAGGGATTATTAAAATCGTAGTTTCGATAGCTTATTAATAAGCTAATATTATTATTTAAAAATAAATAACCTACTCTTATATATAAGTATTAAGAATCTTATTATTATAAAAATAATAATAAATATACTAGAGTATTTAAAAGAGTTTTTTAATAAACTTTTAATATTATTTAAAGTAATTATCCTCGAGTTATAAAAAGAAGCCGAGGCGCTATATTAATACGGCCCTATTTATCTTATTAATATTAATAATAATCTTTTTAATATAAAATATATTACCGATATTTTATAGCTATATTATTACTTTTTATAAATCGTACTTAACGTTAGTAAGGATTTTAATATTATCTCTTAGTTCATTTTTTAATTTTTTTATTAAAACTATTATTATAAGGTTAGTTTAGTTATTAATATTTTAATAAGTATTTTAACTTAATTTAAAGGCTTTTATAACCCTTAAAAAGAGGTTTTTAAAAGACTTATAATTAGACTTTTTACTTATTATAAATAAAGTTATTATAATTAAAATTATAATACTAATTACGAACCTTAATAATAAATAGTTAATAATATAATTATTTTTTTTTATAGCGAGTTTAAAAAAGTATCTTAATTTAAGTACTAAGTAAGTACTATACTATTTTATTAAAACTATATTCTTATACTTATAACTTAGAAAGAATTAACTTTCTTTAATAATAAAATACTTAGCTCTAACGGTCACTGTGGCGCTTTCCCTCCGCATCCTCCTTCTTCTTACGTTTAATTTCTTTTGTTTCTTTAATGGATCCAACTGTTCCAGAGAGGAGGAGAATAGAAGGAGTCGCCGGCGCAACTTCAAACTCCCCTTAACGTCCCAAAACAGAGAGGGGACGAAATAAGGAAGATCTCCGTCAAGGATGACAACCTCCTCTTGGCTTCGGGCCTATTCCGATTGCCAACATCGCACTGCCCAGCCGGGCCTTGTGTCCACGTTGGTTACAAAGTGAATACGGGATGCACCAGTGTTCGGCAACTATTATCACAGTAGAAAGTCTCAGCGAGAGACAGAGACAACAGAGACACGCCGGGCGACCTCGTCTCCAGATCGGTGCCACCCCGGCGCCCTGGCGCCCCCCTTTTTTCCTGTACGACCCTCGCTGCGTTTGGTTACCAAGCCCAGGCAGTTCCAGGACCTGTTCGTTTCACCAACCCGCAATAGGACAGTCGACACCAGGCAACGTCTCAATTCATAGTCACATTTGAAGAGAAAACCAAGCCGAGATTACCGTGACCATGAGGGAAATCGGAAGATCAATGGCAAGGAGCCAAGTCTGCCAAGACAGTTCGGATACTGCAACAGGCTGACTTTACTCGATACGTTGTGACTTGTGGAACGAACCAACTTCCCTCTCCACCCTTTCTCCCGCAACAACTATCCATGGCAAATCAGGGATGACTTGAGAGAGCGAGTCGGTCGCGCGCATGCCATCCGATTACCTTACACTACTTTAACACACGATCTGATTAATCATGGTCGATTGATTGATAGAATAGATACTTGGTTGTCGCCATATCACCCAACCAAGCTTCACAATCCGATGTGCGGTACCACAAACACGCAAGCTAAACCCATCCAAGACGTGACGAACGTTCGGTAAAAGATACACCCTGGAGTAATACCGAGTATTCTTAATCATCAAAAACTCCACCAAGCCGTCCGCTCTGAGGGGATGGTGGGACCCCGAAGCCCGAGGTAAGCCTGGCCTCGAAACTCAGACGGCCCAGCAAAGATATCTATTATTCGTATCCGACCTGGTTCCGTAACAGAGACGGGCCTCCTTACTCCTGCCTATTCCACACATACTCTCCTTTCCTCTGCCGACCTATATGTCAACGGACAAGCAAATCTAAACTACCGCTCTCGCGGGCAAGAACTTCAGACTTATTGTCCCATGAGCCAATGTGCAATTTCCTGTGCTGGCTTTCGGTTCTCCCGCTTTTAAGGTTGTCACTATTGACTTGAATGTGTCTTGAGCTTCATCAACCTCGCGAGTGTGGGGGTTCCTGCCTAGCTTCTTTATGTAAGTTTGCGTATCTAGTTGACTAGACAATCCATCCCGATTCCTGGAGAACCGCATATCCTCCCGTAGGCTTCATAGGACACAGTCTCGTGCCTCTTGTCGCTTCATTACATCTTTCCGTGAATAGATCCCTGTCAGGACTTTTGCATTATATGCCACTTCTTGGGCCATCCGCCTTCCTCTCTCCTGGCATGAGGGTGTATAAGTATGTATGTACTTCCGGAAGAAGAAATATCAAACCAGACGCCTGCTCATGCAACCTCATAATCGTTTCCGGCGTATGCCGCCGGTTTGGGCTGAATGATCGTACTCCCATCGCCGCATCATCTGTAAACACATCCGAATGGTATCAAACTGACCAAGTAAGCAAAGCCTGCGCGTCTTAACCAAACAAAGTTTCTATCAATTCATCCATGAACGTAAAGGCTAAGTGTGCGCTGAGAAGAGATGTCTTGTTAGCCACGTGACAACCACCGGCAATTCAGCTTTGCACCGACAACTTACTTGAGTCTCGAATTGTTGAAGGTTGCGAACACACGCCGGCTGGCTGCTTGTGCATTCACTCTTCCGACAACGCTTCCTGCTAGGTCGGGTATAAGAGTAGCCAACATCAAGCTGGCTTCCGTCCTCGTCTTCTTCTTCTCTGATGCCGTCCTCGGTTGCTTGTTCTTATTCATTTCACCACCGGGCCACATGCTATCCTTGAGCAGGGCGATGTACTTGATGATGGCATCTTCCTGTACAAGCATCTTGACATTGTCTCGAACCTTGCGCTCGATTGTGCCGCCCAGTAGCTGTTGAAGGACAACAACCACAGCGCGCCCTCGAAGCCAGTTGTTTCCTCGGTTGAGTTCAAAGACTTCTAAGAAGATGTCGCAGATAGGCTTGATGAAAGACTCTAGCTCCTTGTTCTCGAAAGCGTTCAGTTCAGCCTCGGCCTCAGCAGCGC